GCAATCTCTTGGGTAGGTACGAACACTTCTCGATGTTCGACGAGTGATCATGCGGCGTGAATGCTCTTCCCTGGTCGCTGTTCGGCCAGTAATCCGCCCTTAGCTCCTATGAGGGGCGGGGTGTTGGGAGAGAAATGGTCACACAGGTTTGCCTGTGTAGGCTCTCTCCTAGTGCCGATTCAGACGGGTAAGGCGGCCTAAGTTAGTTTTAGGTCGCAGGGCGAGAAATGGCATCCCACTGTGTGGGAGGATCCAACTTTGGATCGTCACTCCTCATGTGATCGCGCCGGACATCAAGATTTGTGAGGCTCCAGTCTTGTGCGAGCATTGTACGCGTCGCGTCACCCTCGAGCAGTGCCTTCTGCACTGACTCGTACTTGTTTCTTACTTTGAAAGAATCACTGCCTTCTGCACTGATTCATTTTGGTCCCCGTGGATCGGAGACTTCTTCTTTGATCCACTTTGGTCCGCGATAGTACTTGACATATGCGAATGAGTGTGTGGGAATGTGTGATAGCTAGCTAGCGAGCGTATTAGTTTATAAGTCGTCGTTGTTAGAAAGGGAGCCATAGCGAATTCCGGCTTCGTTCTGGCTCCCTTTCGGGTCTCTAAAGCAGCAACCTCCTCGCGGTGAGACCCGGGCAATCGGTATCATCCTCGATTCAAAAAACATTGCGAATTGTAATGAGTTTTGAGTGGAGAATGATACCGAGCTAATAGCTGCAAATTTTGAATTCTTTTTGATATTGCTATTTTCTAATCACAAATGACGTTATTTGTGCTTTGTTCATTGATAATTAATTTATAGCAATTTAGTTCTGTTCCTTATACTTCTTGTACATTAATTCATGATATTAGTTGACAGTCCTTCTACTTATGCGCCATCTTATAAGTACTAGTGTAACTAAACTTGTGAAATTGTCTACTGAGGTAGTTTGATGAGGTAGTAGTCTCATTTTGTCGGTAACTGTGTCGCTTTTTGTGGTATCCACGTATTATCCAAACGCTCGAACCGACAGACAAACGTTATCGACGCATTACTCAAAGGGTTAACGCAAATGATTCTTACCCTTTGAGATTGTTCGCCTTACAGTTTCAACGATCCATCACCAATGGCACCACTAGTAGAAGTATGAGGATCGATATGAGAATTTGCGAGTGGCAAAGATATCTCTATCCTTGTCGCGCAATCGTGCATCTTCATCTTACACGTTACACGCATTGGGAAAAGAAACAAGTTCACGGAAAAATGTTAATAATTACTTAACGCGGGCTAAATTCGAATTGAAATTATTGCGGAAGAAACTCGAGACTTCGTGCTAGCATCCCCGATTGCAGAAGCGCGTTATTTCGTCCGTGAAATTGCGAAAATTTTTAATTACGTGAAAATTGTTGAATAAACTATTTAATCAGGAACACAAGGATAATGGGAATAATTCGATGAAGTAACGAACGCTTGCGATACTTCGAAACAGGATCTCTGGCTCTGAATTCGTGTTTTTAAACATCCGAACATTTCGAACAGCCAAACGGTACTTTTTCGGAGTCTCGATTACATTCGCAAATAATCGCTGTACGAGGTGCTTGTGCAAATTCGGAGAAAAAGCCTGAATCGAACAGGACACGCCGGCCAGAAATTAGCAACGCGAGAAGAGAAACGGATGGGAACCGAGAGTACCAAAATTTCCGCTGTTAACATCTTTGTACGTTCTGCAGAAGTTTTTAGATCGGAGAAAGTCCATTTACGAATAAACACCGTGAATAAGATAGGTCGATTGGGAATATTGAAATTTCAATGTCCCTGGAGTTCTTCTCAGTGTCCGCTGATGGACGATAAACGCCGCGTAATCGCTTCCGTATCATTGTTTGCATTCCGCAATTGCATAGCATCGTTCGTCGAACGATATCATTTCCCATCGACTTGTTAACATTAACGAATTTACGATGCACATGATAAAGGACAATGCATCTCAAGCTGCGTCAATATTAGCTCCTCAAGGAACAATAAAAATGGCACGCGTAACATCCAAATGTGAAACACGTGCCTTTTCCTACGCGGCACGAACGGGCTGCAATAATTGAATTTATAACGCGGGGCACTCTGTCCGTTATCGCTAATATATACATACACGGGCGCGAAGTCCCAGCGAATTTTACATTATATTTTCACTCGACAAATGTACGGAAACAATTGAAACTAATCGACGCTCAGCTTGCGCACAAAAATGGGCACTTTGAGAAGAGGAGATGCGACAACTATAGAAACGAGCCGCAAGGCTCGAATGATCGTATCTCCTCTTCCCAAATTGTCGATTTTTGTTTCCAAGCTGAGCGTCAATTAGGGGGAGAATTTACTGTAATTTGTTATCTTCTTTATTTTCGAAACGGGTGCGTTATCGTGGACTGTCGGCGACGTTGACATGCAAAGTACGTCGTCATCGAAGAACAAGAAACGGCCTTGTAATTTACCGACGTGTCGGACAGCGTGCACGGGGAATTTTAACGGTACGACGGAACACACCTTGCACGAAACTTCTTCAAAAAGCACTGGAGAAGTGGTATTTGCAAAGAATTCGATCGCCACGCGATTCGCGATAATCATCGATTGATTCTCGTAAAATGACGTGCTTACCGAACTGGTCTTTTCCGCNCTCGATTACATTCGCAAATAATCGCTGTACGAGGTGCTTGTGCAAATTCGGAGAAAAAGCCTGAATCGAACAGGACACGCCGGCCAGAAATTAGCAACGCGAGAAGAGAAACGGATGGGAACCGAGAGTACCAAAATTTCCGCTGTTAACATCTTTGTACGTTCTGCAGAAGTTTTTAGATCGGAGAAAGTCCATTTACGAATAAACACCGTGAATAAGATAGGTCGATTGGGAATATTGAAATTTCAATGTCCCTGGAGTTCTTCTCAGTGTCCGCTGATGGACGATAAACGCCGCGTAATCGCTTCCGTATCATTGTTTGCATTCCGCAATTGCATAGCATCGTTCGTCGAACGATATCATTTCCCATCGACTTGTTAACATTAACGAATTTACGATGCACATGATAAAGGACAATGCATCTCAAGCTGCGTCAATATTAGCTCCTCAAGGAACAATAAAAATGGCACGCGTAACATCCAAATGTGAAACACGTGCCTTTTCCTACGCGGCACGAACGGGCTGCAATAATTGAATTTATAACGCGGGGCACTCTGTCCGTTATCGCTAATATATACATACACGGGCGCGAAGTCCCAGCGAATTTTACATTATATTTTCACTCGACAAATGTACGGAAACAATTGAAACTAATCGACGCTCAGCTTGCGCACAAAAATGGGCACTTTGAGAAGAGGAGATGCGACAACTATAGAAACGAGCCGCAAGGCTCGAATGATCGTATCTCCTCTTCCCAAATTGTCGATTTTTGTTTCCAAGCTGAGCGTCAATTAGGGGGAGAATTTACTGTAATTTGTTATCTTCTTTATTTTCGAAACGGGTGCGTTATCGTGGACTGTCGGCGACGTTGACATGCAAAGTACGTCGTCATCGAAGAACAAGAAACGGCCTTGTAATTTACCGACGTGTCGGACAGCGTGCACGGGGAATTTTAACGGTACGACGGAACACACCTTGCACGAAACTTCTTCAAAAAGCACTGGAGAAGTGGTATTTGCAAAGAATTCGATCGCCACGCGATTCGCGATAATCATCGATTGATTCTCGTAAAATGACGTGCTTACCGAACTGGTCTTTTCCGCGAACAGCTGTTTGTTTCAATTCGTCGCGTTTCGCGGAAAGCGTAATCGATCATGGCCGCGAAGGTAGATCCTTGATCAGTTTTCCTCGCTTGGACATCCACGCAAAATGCCTTTCCCCCGAGTTATCCTAACGCGATTCCACGGCAACGCCTGTGCTTTCTAGTGCGATGAAAGTCGACGGTATCCGGGACGAGCTTTTATTTTCCCGATTCCCCGATGAACTAGATGATTATTGATCGCAAGGTGTTCTCGTCGGAGGAATCGACTCGCACGTTCGTTCGTAAGAAGATCGGATGGTTTACCCGACGATTCTCGTAATTCTTGTCTGAACTGCATACGAAGAAACGCGCTAATCGCTGCATACACGTGCATAAATGGAATTCATGTCTGTCGGAATAAAATGCGGATAAATACCTTGAGAAACAATATAGTATCAGCAGTTTTTACCTCGCTGAATTCTTGCTGATTGCGGGTAACAGGTACACCTCGTCCTTGCACACGGATATTTTTACGTTTGATTTTTTCCTCCCTTCGTCCGAGCAGCGTGTTTTGCGTCGATGGATAACGGAAACGTGGAAAGGCGATTGTTATTGCATTAGTGGGAGATCGTAGACGATATCGGCGGTGAACGACGATGGTCCACAGTCGAAATCGGCGAGCAGGATGCCGTAGATCGGCCGGATGCGGGACCTAGAAAAAAAAGATCAAATTGCTCGTTGAATTGGCTATAATTCGTGTTTGCCGAACCCAGCGATCATTTAGAAGAGAAGCGACGCATGCGTTCGCATCCTGACGGACACGGACGTAACGACAGGTTCGCAGAGTGGAGGGAGACTCGGCACGTGTGAAACAGCTGTAGATTTAATCAGTGTATAGTATATAGAGGAGGTACGCGACGACGCATCAGATCGGTAAGGCTCGGTCAGACGAGAAAGCTTCTCGTCGATCACGTGCGAAATCTCGAAATCGATCGTCTCACGACGATCGCGGAGTCTGCGATCACACGGCGGAGGAGTTGACGAGGCGTGAAGTGATTAGTGCGCGATGAATCGCCGACGGAACAATAAATTATCGCGGCGCGAGTCCGCAGGATCGTGAATTCTTCATTGCTAAATACGAGGCGCTTTTGAGGTTCGCGAGATCTTTTTACGAGGTTTATTCGTTGGGTCCATTCGGAGACACGTGGACTCTCCATCCACGTTTCTCAAGGGTGACGCGGGTACCCGCGAACCACCGCGGTTCGAGGCGGTCATTTTCTCCTTTCCACAGAATTTCTCCGTTCAATCAATTCCAACGACCGTCACCCCAATCCTCGTGTTTCATCTTGGTACACGCCACACCCAGGCGATCCTTCAAGGCGGTCAGCCTTCACCCGTCAAGCGGCGAATGCCAACTCCGAAACTTCCTACAGTACCGAAGTCGTTTAATTATTCAAACCGAAAATAGGAAATGAAAATGTACCGTAAGAAATATTAGCTCGACTGTCTCGTATTCTAGAAATCCTAGCAAGATTCCAGTTTGCTCGACGTATTACAATAAATCGATGATCGCGAATTAATATTAGTCGCAGCGATGTGCGACCGACACGGCGCTCGACGTGTTAATCGAAACTATTTCCGAAGGAAGGTTTCCAACCTTGGAAAGTGGCCTCGGAGAGCCTAATTCGGTGCTCGCATCGGAGAATTCAGCGACGATCGCCGACAGTCGCTCGTCCGTGGACCCGTGACCGTGTGTCCACGCGCGAGCGACTTTCGGAAGTTTTCCTCTGAAATGGAAAGATATCGTTACTGCTAATGAGAGCGCCGAGATGATCGCGGTTGAGCAGGAAACAGGATAATCACGTGGTCGAATTAATCTCACGTGGCCGGCGATCAGGTGACGCCGCGAACTCCGTGCCGCGCCGTTAAAAAATCACTCGTTAATTGCCGCTCGGAAAATCCACTAATTGCCGGCTCGTTCGAACGTTATTGAATCGGCTCGATCGTCGGAATCCGCTCAATGGAACACCGTCCGCGCGCTTATTGCATAAGAAAGATCGTCGCCGAACAATCGCAACCGAAGGACACGTTTCTGAACCGCGCGCGTCATCTGTGATTTCAGGAGCTCGAGCGAGCACGATGCTCCGGCTCTAGGAAAATCCGTTCAAGGAAGAAGTGACGTTCGTTCGCTGAAAAACAAAAAAAAATGACAGCGTTCAGCTTCGAAAGACTGCTGAAGAGCCGGGTGCCCATTCTGAAATGGCTACCGCTCTACAAGCCGAAAGATGCGCTGGGCGACCTAGTTGCTGGCCTGACGGTCGGTCTGACCTTAATACCGCAGGTACTCATTTTCCACGCAATGACACTATTAAGTCGCGTTATCGTCGCCGTGGTCCGATCGCTTTTCTGCGTCGGTTTCTACTCGCGGCTCCTTTGATTCCAGGCGATCGCCTACGCCAGTCTGGCCGGCCTGACACCCCAGTTTGGATTGTACAGCGCGTTCGCCGGCAGCTTCGTTTATATTTTCTTCGGCACCTGCCGAGAGGTCAATATTGGTCCGACCGCGTTGATCTCCCTGCTGACGTACACATACGCGAGGTAAGACTCGAAACGGTCTCGTCTCTTCGTAGCAACGGCCAATTTGTAACGAGCAATACGATTTAATGACCCCTGAAAGGCCGGTTCACGCGATAATCTCGCTCGACGGTCCGCGCAATTGAGAGATTTCGCGACTTTAAACGAGCCGTGACATCGTTTTCGTGTGCTCGGTCAACGACACGTTTGCGTCGACTACGATCCTTCACCTCGAAACCAAGATGAAATCGAGATCGAAAACGTGGTATGCCGGTTCGCAGAGGTATCCCGGAGTACGCGGTTCTGCTGTGCTTTCTGTCGGGATGCGTGACGATAGTCCTGGGTATACTGAGGCTGGGATTCCTGGTGGAATTCGTCTCGGTGCCGGTGGTCTCGGGGTTCACTTCGGCGGCGAGCCTGATCATAGCCTGCAGCCAGATAAAAAGCTTGCTGGGCCTGAAGATTCACGGGGAGAGCTTCGTGGAGATCTGGACGGAGCTGATCAACAACATCGGACGAACCAACATCCCTGACTTGATCTTGTCGTGCTGCTGCATTCTAATTCTGCTGACCCTGAAGGTAATCCATCGGGGACGCTCACGCGAGCAGAACTAGTTCTTACGCGGCGTGAATACGTACGTGCGAAGAAAAAAGAAAACAGAAGGGGGGAGATCGGTTGAAGAAACGGTGAACGGTTCCAGAAACTGAAAGACGTCAAGGTCTCCAACAAGATGCTCAAAAAATCCATCTGGTTCCTGGAAACCGGCAGGAACGCCATCGTCGTAATCGTCTGCGCGGTGATCTCGTACGTTTACGAGAAAAGGGGTGGCGCGCCCTTCGTCCTGACAGGAGAGATCGACGCGGGATTGCCGATCGCCGGGCCGCCACCGTTTTCCAGGAGCTTCGGGAACCAAACCGAGACGTTCGTGGACATGTGCAGGAATTTGGGTACCGGGATCATCATCGTTCCTCTGATCTCGATCATTGGGAACGTCGCTATCGCCAAAGCCTTCTGTGAGTCTTGTCGATGATAAAAGATCCATTCCAGTTTCCGAAGCGCGATGAAAACCGAGAGAAATTACCGCAGCACGAGGCCAGACTCTGGATGCGACGCAAGAAATGCTGACCCTCGGTCTGTGCAACGTGGCCGGTTCCTTTTTTCAGTCGATGCCGGTCACCGGTTCCTTCTCGAGGAGCGCCGTGAACAACGCTTCCGGTGCTCGGACACCTTTGGGTGGCATGTACACAGGTATTCTAGTCATCCTCGCTTTAAGCTTGCTAACACCGTATTTCTATTACATCCCGAGAGCGACGCTGAGCTCCGTGATAATCAGCGCGGTGATATTCATGATCGAGGTGGAGATCATAGGGCCGATCTGGAGATGCAGCAGTGAGTGGAACAATTCAATTTGACGAGTGGCAAAGAACGATAAGGACAGAGAGACCAACGCGTTCTTTGATTGCAGAGCGAGATCTGATCCCGATTTTCGCCACCTTCTTCGCGTGCTTGTTCGCTGGTGTCGAGCTAGGTATTTTAATAGGGGTGACGATTGATCTGGCTATATTAATTTATTTCAACGCCAGGCCGACAATATATATCGAATACAGAAATGTAAATACATAACAATGATCGACGAAGACTTTTAGAAGTTGCTATTTTAAAAATATTTCTTTTTTTTTGTTTATTTGTTTGTTATTGTTAACACAGACACCTGCGGTTAGCTACATCCTCGTGCGGCCCAGCGCGGGGTTACTCTTCCCCGCGGTGGACTACCTGAGGATATACTTGATAGAGCACCTGGCTAACAATCAGCAGAATCTACTGAAAACCTTCAAGAACTCGAGAATCGTCGTGCTAGACTGCAAGCATATCGATAAAATTGATTTCACTGCGGCGCAAGTGCGTAGAACAAGTTTGAACGATTAATTTGCGTACCGGTCGTCCTGGATTTTACTTCTTCGAGCTACGAGAAGCGTCTACTGTCGTCTGCTAGAACGAATTAGCGATAGAAATAAGCGTAGCGTCTCTCCTCGTAATCATCGGGGTCGACGATGGTTGCTCGACGATCGCTGGCAGACGCAAGATTCAGGACCGATTCGAACGTGTGTGTCGGTTTCGTTTGAGTACAATTTTATTTGAGTGACGTTTGTAGGGGTTGAACACGGTGATAAGCGACTTCAAGGAGAAAAATCATAAGCTGATCATGTTGCGGCCGTCCGCGGAGGTCTTGAAGAGCGTTCAATCGCTGTCCGAGGAGATCATCCGAGTGGCCCACACGGACGCGGAGCTCGTGGCGATTTTGAAGGAGTATAGTTTGAGCAAAAGGGTCCTGGAGTTCGATGCGGAATTAATCGACGTGACTAATTTGGTAATCGACGGCAGGCCGAGGGACGAACACGCAAGCACGAAGCTCTAGAGTCTAGAACGATATCAACGCATCGAGTCACGTCGGTAAACGGGAAAAGAAATTGACAATCGTGCGGAAAAAATTCCTACAAATTCTGTTGAATGTTTCTCTGTTTCTTTTTTTCGTCGGATTTTCTCTCATTTTTCTTCTTCAATACATATCGAAAATTGAGTTACAGGACTATCAACGATATCGTATAAAATCGTAATGAACATTAACACGTATTTACGATTATATATGAATTGTATAATAATTCGTACGGTTTTTTTTTTTGTAACTTGTTACCAGTAATTGATATAGATCCATATGAAAAATTACTTGCATCTTCTTCTTCTTCTTCTATTCTTTTTTTTTTTTTTGTTTGTTTTGTTTAAAGAGAACTCTATTGACGCGTGCAGTTTTCTTAATATAAATCGAAGGAATAATACTGTGTGGTTATAAATGCGTACCAGAATATGTTGAGAGAAAGAATATATATATATGTGTGTATATATATTCTAATTAGTCTATATAACATCTACCAAGTACGGCAAGTTCAATGTTTTACTTTGTAAAAACTTGTAAGTCCTCGAAAAATAAACTATATGGTATTTCTTAACAATATACGTAATATTTGAACAAAAATAAATGGTTATATAAAATGCTTTTGCCTCCGAATCTTTAAAGAAACTAGAGGAAAACGATAGAATGAAAACGAAGGAAAGAAACGTAGTCGTGGCTTGACGTTGGCCTACAAAAAATAAATACATCAGACTTGTATGATTCGCGAACACTTCGAATTATTAGCCTCCTCTCTCTTCTTTCACTCATCTTCCTTTTTCTTTTCTATTTTAAAAGGAAAACAACGTAAAAGAACCAATCGAAATTTTTTCGTGACACAAACTAAACGCTAAATCGTCGTAGAATAATACTTTCGATCATAGGAACTTAAAATATACTCCCGAGAATACCAAGAGCCCTGACACGATATTAAAAAGATATTCTTTCCTACAGAAATCCGAGTAACGAGTAACACTGATTTAATCTAAGTTCATTAGACTGACCGATAGAAATGTCCGAAGAGAATTCTAGAAAATAGATCTGCTACTTTCACACTTGTTACCATAGGAAATAGAACAAGACGAGGCTATCGCGTAATTGGCAGTTACAATATCGTAAAATCCCTTTAAAGCTTCTCAACTTTGAAAAAGAGTCTATCGCTAAATTGATGCCAAACATCTATGTAAGTACAATGCACGTGAAATATATGTCTAAAGTAGATTAAAAAACTTTCATGCCGCCCACACTTGTACCTACTGTGTGTGAATCATTCGACGCGATCCCTTCAAACTATCTTCAAAGTACTAAAACCATACAGAAATCATTTCGATAGACTACCAATAAATTAATAGCTATCGCGGATCTCGAAGCAAATTGTCATTTTCGTTATTTCATAAAAGTTTTAAAGAACAGAAAAGTGTCTTAAGCTGGTAATAAACATAATATACGATTCGCTGACCTCGTAGATATTATGGAACTCTTGCTTAAAATATTCCGTACACGCAATAATTTCTGAATAATTTCAAGTAATCGCGTTGAACGATTCAGCCTGTATACAAAGATAACGACGATGCAAAAACGGCCCGAGGGGCCGCGGATGAACGTGCAACGATTTTGTACGGTGTGACTGCAACGATCTAGCTCGGAAACAAGAAATGGATTATGCGCTTGTGGTGCTACCACAGTAAGGACTGCTTCTACAGTTTTACTGCTCCATCGATTTGCGGATACTACGACCAAAAGTCGCTCTGGACGCGAGCTCTTTAGAGGACGCGTGATAGTTTCCGCTCTTATGGTACTGAGGGACGTAAGGCTGGGTGTTGAGACTGCCCATGTACGCCATACTCGGTTTGACGTCAGAGTGCAGAGTCGAATTTTGAATAATGTCCGGCTTTCTAGAATAGTTCATTCCATAATACATACACTCCCTCGGCGAGACCATGGGTGGAGTGCATTCGGAGTCGTTTTTCGACGCATCGTCCTTCCTGTTGAGGTCCTGGTTACTTTGGAACATCGAACAATGATCAGGCATTCTCTGATAGTTGGCAGTAGCGCGCGGCGCGTACTTCTGGCTCAGTTGCATGTGCATGTTTGTAGAACCACTTCTCGCCGGGTCCATGGCGACTCCATAAGAATAGGGCATCGTCCCCTGACCGTCTTGGATGCAGCTCTGATAATCGTTTGCTAGGGGAACTCGATATTGACGGGTTCTTGCGTGAACATCCATAGCGTTGTCCTTCATCCTGACGTTCGTCGACTTGCAACCCTGCATACTTCCTATGTAATTATCCAGCTTGATGGGCACGGAGTAGCTGGGATTGCTCTCCAGCTGCTGTATTTGCTGGAACTGCTTGTACGGATTGCTCTGCATCGACGTAGCCAAGGTGCAATTGATAGAATCGGCTGTGGTGCTCGAAGGCAGCACTTGATTCGGGTATGCGCTGCAGTTGCTGAACGGTGTGTTTTGGAACAGAGGTGGATATTGCATCATGGGGTTCCAACCCTGCATACACAGCTGCGGCACGTAGTACATCGGAGGTTGCATGTATCCCTGCTGGATGCTGTTGAAATCCGTGCCACACATGTGTCTCGAGTTGTGCATCTGCATGTTCATCGGCTGCGCCGTGTTCATCATATTCCCGAAGAGCAACATATCTGGGAGTGACAAATTCCATTGGTTATGCTGACCGACCGCGGGATGGTTGTGATAACCCGATGACGTTGGCAACACCGAGGTCTGAGGACTATGCATGAGAATGTTGGAGGGTTCAGCCTGCATGATACTCTGATTCTCCATGGTGTAGGACGAGGTGCTCGGCACCAGTGTGTTATGAGTAACTATGCTGCTGTCTGCGGTCTTTCTACCTGTGTTTTGAACATTATTGTACTGATTCAAATATACCGGAGACATGCTGCTGTACGGCATAACGTTGCTCATTGTCATACTCGGATTGCAATTGTTCTGCTGCTCTGACTTCTGGTTAGCCAGGTCCAGCAGATACATGTTTCTTTCAGCGTTCTGATTTGCTACCTGAGCGCCACTATTATCGAAGTAACTCTTATTTTGTACACTCTGGTGACTCTCTAGTTGTTGAGCGTTGCTTACGCTAGATGCAGGCTGCAGATCGGAGTAATACGAATTCGTAGCAACTTTATGGTGCTGAATAACGTTATTGGTATGCAACGATGACTCTGAATGACCCGCTGTATGGATCTCTTGAACGTTGTCAGAAAACTTCACCGACTTTGCCTCCGAGCTACTAGTACTCATCTTACTGCTACTATTATTACTAGTATGATCTTGTTCAGTCTTTGCGAATTGTACTTCAGTTCCGTTGCAAGGAGCTTGCAACAGGTGCGACTCTTGCGACATATTAACGGACACGCTTATGTTTGCGGGATCTTTGGTACTGTTTGACCAAGAATTCAATGATCTCGTGGACTGCAGATTATTTACAGTTGAATCCGATGTATCAGTCTTATTGTTACTAGCACCATTGGTTGTCTTATGCGAACATACGCTTATCTTTGAGCCTTCGGATTGATTCGCTTTGTAATCCTTTGACGAATAGTCTGGTACAGTTTTCTTGTAGTCGTCCGTCTTCTCTTTGCCGTTCGCGTCTTTCGGGAAAGGCTGGAAAGTGCCGGAAGAACGCCTGTAAGTGTGAGAATCTTTCTTGAACTTCTGCATAGAGCTCTGTTCATCTTTCGAGGTTCTATCGTTATTGGTTTTCGCATAAGAGGCATTTTGATAGTTTCTTCTACAAGATACAGAACCGGATGGTCTCCCCATGGGTCTTTCATTCGTATTGCATTCTGAAACATAGAAATGTTTTATTTTTCCTCTCGATGTATTTTGGGAAAATTACGTATCGTTCTTTTCCTTACTAGTTTCACATTTTTTCTTTGATCCGTTCTCAGTTGAATTAGTGTTATCATTAAAACCAGGTGTATGATTGATCGAATTTTCTTCTTCCTTGAATGTATCACTTAAATATTGCTGTTGTGACTTGACCAATGGTTTATTCCTATTGTATTGAACATTGTATGATTGAGTACGAGTTGTTTGAACTTTGTGACATTTTCTTGAATCATCTATATCACTGCTTTTCCTTTGAGACCTGTTCTTCTCATCCAATACTTCCATAGTTCTTCTTCTGTCACCATTATCGTTAAACGTAGAAAAATTTTGCTTATAAAACTGCTGCTCCTTCATTTGCGTCCCCTTTCCCGTATATAATTGCTTATTATATCCATTTACTTTGCTACATTTGTCATACTTAGTTACAGGTACAGAGTTTTTTCTAGAGTCTGTACTGGAAATTTTTTCATTTTTATACGAGTGCAACGAATCATCTTGATCTTTAGAAATCTGTTTCGAAGTAGTACTAGACATCTTTATTGAATTTCCTGCAAGTAAAAATATATCTCTTCGTTGGAATTATATCTTGAGATTATTAGTTGTGTTAATTCTGAATCAATTGATTCTCACCTGGTTGTTTTTTGACCTTGTGATCGTTAGTTTTGTTAATATTAATCTTGTTAGTTGATTTTTGCATACCTTTCTGTAACTCTGGTGCAGTTTGAGCTTTAGATTTGGCATTGTTGTTATTATTATCGTGGCATTGCTTCGAATTAATTTGATTACTTTCATTATTATCTGCCTTTGTCGTGTCAGAACTACCATGAATAGTATCCCTAATAATTAAATAATATTATAAGTCATGCGAGTCGTGCCAGTCATAATAAAATATTATAACAGAGATTAATTTGTTGACTTACCATTTATTAGACGATTCATTATACATCTCGCTGGATTTAATCTTTCTGGCCTCTTCGAGTCTAAGATGCTCCAGAGTAACATTAACAATATTCTCTTGTGAATTCATCTTCTTTATTTCTTGAGAATTTGGCAATAAAGTACTAGCTATATTAACATTTTTATTCCAAGTAGTCTCCATAATACTTTCCCCAAACGGGTCAACAACTTTTAAAGTGGATTCAAGCGTATTGTTATTTGTAATGATATTATTGTTGCCTATACATTCATTCATAATACAATCATTGTTCTCTAACTGAGGACTGTTCGAAGCACTATCGACTGAGACAACATCAGTACCGTCTTTTGATCCTTCGTTTACTTTAGTTTTTAGCGGAGTACATATTAATTCTTTTCCATCTGGAAATACTTTCATGCTATAATAGAAAAATAAATTTAAAATATTAAAGATGATCTATATAAATTTAAAATATTAAAGATGATCTATATAAATTCATATTTAATATCTTTTCTTTGGGCATTGCATACTGTTCCATGAATCAAGATAAATAATGTTTTAGCGATTTAGTCTACTATTCACGATGGAATAGACTATAGTAGTAATGAAAAATGAAATAATATTTATGAATGAATAATAATCTGCACAGAGAATATTCTATTAGAGTAATTGAAGTGAAAAGAACAGATACCAAACCAATGAAACAAAAGCGAACTAAAATATATAAAACAGACATAAACGTACTGGCCTGAGAACTGAGAATTACTTTTCAGCCACTGCATATTATGCATCTTGCCGATTACGGCCATCTGCTCTATATCATGTTTCTGTTTTAAATCTCTATCAGTGGAACCCATTTTACCTATTACAAATGCATTTACAGAAACTAAGCACATTGAATAATAAAAATATACTACTTACAATTATCCTAGACAAAAAATAAAATCTCCAGTACAAATGAACCATAGTTTGAATGCTTTAAATGGCAGGAAAATGTAAAGTACTGTTACAACATCGATTACAACCGCTTACAACGACATTGTTAAACATAAAATGGTGAACCTCTACCATATATTATATAGGAAATACTATAAATTCTTTGAATTCAGGTCTGAAATTTTTCGGATATTTCGACGAACAATTCAATGAAAATACAACGGAACGATCACTCTGCCCAATCGTATCGTGTTAAGTGCACACCGAAATTAATGAACGTAACAAATGAAAACTATATAACTGCAGTAAAATATATTTTCGACGCAATTGATACCGGACGAATACAACATTTATGCATTATCGGTTAGAACTATACAGTTATCTATGAGAATGATAATTTAACCAGTTTACCGTATGCTTAATTGTTTAACGGTGAGCGTAATCTTAATTGAAAATCTGTTGCAGGAACAGTTTCTTTCTCTCTCTCTCTATCTCTCCTTCAATGTATAGATATTAAGAATGACCAACCACCATAAAGGTCGCCATAATACTGATGATGACTGATGAACAAGAGGATGCGCAAGTGCAAACAGACGAAAAATTCTTCACGTCGAATTGAGAAAGTGATGGAATCTCTTACGACTCATTCGTTCGAGAAACGATGCATGAGATATCGTGCTGCATAAATCGCGCAATATATATTCGGTGCATAAATTGCAATCGGATTAAAAGCAGGATATGTTTATAAAATTCAAATAACGCACCCTTTAAAGGGCATTCTGTAATACGAAAAAGTTATTGGTCGCGGCACGACGAGCTAACGAACCAGATTTATTTGTTCTAAATTACCGACTGCACCAAGCAAATGCAGTCCCCCTAGTGAGAAACATGGGAACTGCACTTTCCTTCGCTCGATCGAACTGTCCGCTGCATCCGTGAAATGCTGATGCCGGTTTGAAGTTCAGTTCATGGCGAGAGTTTGGTCAGTGCGTTTATTCGTTCCATGTATTCTTCTCTACCGAATGACGTGCGAACTCTTGTCGTTGAATCTCTGTCACGATTTTTCCATGAAACAGTCCTAACAAGTACAGAACACCACCATGCTAATACGTACTCGTAAACAGGTTATGCCAATCAACGAGCGTGATCGAAATTTCCAGAAAGAAAATGACACGCACCAACAGCGAATTTTTTGGAGCGGAAGCTAATGGACATTCTGCGTGATATTCTCTGCATTGAAACAGGATACTTGTTATCGTATTTACGCCTTGAAAATGATTGTGCATTTCCTCCGGCGACGATTAGTGTTACTACTTCCACGTCCATTACGACGATAAGGAGTAATCGTAGTCTATTTAAAAGTGTGAAACTTCTCTACTCGCTCAGTGCACAGACAGAATGCTCGTTGATGGGTCAAGTAGCTGGTGGCCCTTTAATAAATCGTCTAAACATAAATGGGGCACGAAGGCTGTTGGGAAACATGTAGTGCTTTAACGGGTCACGTGTTCAGTTCAGTGACTCGTAAAACAACAAAAATTCTCTCGGCGCGACATTAAAACGTCGGTGAAATTAAACTTGCGAATTTTATGCGTTCGGGTTATGCAATTTCCATAGAAAAGCTAACGCACTTGACCAATTCGCGTGTTCCAATTGCAATTGTTGTCTCGCCAAAGGGGTCGAGAATGTTAGAAAAAAATTAGAACGAACGACCACGCTAAAGAAGCAATTGTGGAACGCTGGAATTTTTATTTACAATTTTCGGTCGTTGCTCTTACTTCTTTTTTCTTTTTTGGTCATTAATTAATGTAATCTTCTTTTACATCTTCGGGTTTATAAATATGTTTTCGTTATTAATTACAATTATCGAAATACGGGAGTACCGAGGTTATCCGTGCTTGCTTACGTATCCTTTCTGTTCACGAGTCTTGCAAAAAGTATGAAGGCTAGTCGAGACTTTTCCTCCACTAACGCGCGATAAATTTCGCGGTCTATCTGGGTATATAAACAGCTGAAAGGCTTTAGTTTCTTTCAGTTCTGCGCTGTATCGCGAATCGCAAATGCTATCAATTTAAACAGGTATTAGCATTTGCTTTTATTTCGTTTCTCATATTCATGTTACTATAGTATAATTAAAGACGAACGTGCCCGTGAGAAGCTCCGGCGCTGAGGTGAAAGTCCATACTTTCACAGGTAAAAATATTTCGCGCTTTTGATAGATTACAATACAGATTTATTTCGAGAGAAATAGACAGATTAATGATTCGATTAACAAATAACTGATGAAGAGTTTCGAATGGAATTTACAATGGCTTGTATCCGGTACTTTCCAAGTTATGTTTTAGTAATTCGCAATATGTTTCCGAAATCTTCAACAGTTCTTTTTTAATGAAATGTTGGGGGTGTTCATTTTTTTATTTTTGTAGTCACTTTAGATGTTTTATTAGTTCATACTCTGATGCTTTAGGATTCTCGTAGAATTTTGTTTCGTTGAAAGGTTGAAAATATCTGCATTTTTTCGAAGATACTTCTCGATCTATAATGGCTCCCGATTCGATATTTCGAAAATGGCAGTCAAGGGACGATAAATTGAACAAATTAAGCAAATTTGTTAGCAAACGCGTACCAATTGTTCGTTGGCTGCCAACATATAACTCGGATAAATTATTAAACGATGCTATTGCTGGAATTACCGTCGGTCTTACTGTCATGCCACAGGGGCTCGCGTATGCGACTTTGGCGGGCTTAGAACCACAGGTATCGCACATGATTCTGTTGCTATTATTTTGCTTCGGTACGATTGTTCACTGCTTATAGAATTATAAAATTATAGTATGGTCTCTATTCTGCATTTGTGGGAGCAATGGTATACATAATATTCGGGTCGTGCAAGGATATCACAATTGGACCAACTGCACTTATGGCACTGATGACACACGAGTATGTGCAGGGTAAAAACGCCGATTTTGCAATACTACTTGCATTTCTATGCGGGTGTTTGCAAATTTTGATGGCTTTCCTACGTTTAGGTACTACTGCATAGCAATTAAATTATTAGAAAATTCAATTATACTTATTAACTTGCACAATTTCGCAGGAGTACTTATAGATTTCATATCAGTACCAGTCACAGTTGGTTTCACATCTGCCACATCCGTTATAATTGTGGCTTCACAGCTCAAAGGACTTCTGGGACTAAAGATCTCCTCTCAAGGATTTTTGGACACTGTCACCAAAGTGTTCAAAAATATTCATAAAACTAATCTATGGGATACTGCAATGAGCGTCTCTTGTATTGTTATCTTATTAATATTTAGGGTAACTCATATTGCTCTATTTGCCAACTATAATGTAATTTATTACAGAGTTGGAGATCTTAATAGTATCGTTTTTATTTTGCAGAAAATGAAAGATGTCAAATTTGGCTATAATAATGAGAAACCGAACGACTACCACAGAATATTGACAAAAATAATATGGTTGATATCTACAGCCAGAAATGCTATTGTCGTCATTGTTTGTTCTGCTATTGCGTATAAATTGAACTCGGAAGAGACTTCACCATTTATTCTCACTGGTACTGTAAGGTCTGGTCTTCCACATATTAAATGGCCCCCATTCTCCACTCAAATTGGAAATCGTACACTGAATTTTTCCGAAATGTGCTCGGAATTGGGCGCGTCTATAGCATTGGTCCCTATAATCGGGGTTCTTGGCAACGTGGCGATAGCAAAAGCGTTCGCAAACGGCAACAAGGTGGATGCCACTCAAGAATTAATCGCACTAGGAATCTGTAATGTGCTCGGATCTTGTACAAGCTCTATGCCAGTTACTGGCTCGTTTAGTAGGTCTGCTGTAAATCATGCTAGCTCTGTGAAAACGCCAATGGGTGGCTTGCATACAGGAATATTGATATTGTTAGCCCTCAGTTTCTTAACGCCATACTTTTACTATATACCGAAGGGTAATACGATAATCTTCGTGCTTATTCACGTTCTTGCATTAGGATATCACATGTAACTTAATATATTATTTTTCCAGCTTCCTTGTCAGCAGTTATTATCTGTGCAGTGATATACATGATCGAATACCAAGTTGTGATGCTGATATGGAAAACTAGCAAAAAGGATCTCATCCCAATGTTCGTCACATTTTTATTCTGTCTCATTATTGGAGTAGAATATGGAATACTTATGGGTGTAGGGACGAATCTCATATTCTTATTATATCCCTCTGCACGCCCAACGATACACGTTGATAAATGCACCGTGAGTAGCGTTTTATAATTGACGGTGTATCACGTAATTTTAGACGACTTAAGAATTGCCTCTAACATATATTTAGACTATCTCTGGAGCCGATTATCTCCTGGTGACACCAGGAAACAGTCTTTACTTTCCTGCTGTTGATTTTATTAAAAAGTCTGTTGGCAATGCAGGAATAAAGCAGGGCTCGTGTCAAGTCCCGGTTGTCGTTGACTGCAGGTATATGTTGGGAGCGGACTTTACAGCTGCCGAGGTAAATATTCCCATTTAGAAAATTTTCGAACGAGTGAACATGCCGTGGTACGATCGCAATATATATTTGCAGGGAATCGCAAAATTGATCAACGAGTTTAACAATCGGAAACAGGGACTCTACTTTTACAATCCACGATCGGATGTTGTTGCAGTATTGAAAGGAATATGCGGGGAAGAGTTTCAATACATTTCTACCCAAGAGGAATTATCGTACTTACTATCATCGCATCAAGGTTTTAAGATTAATTATACTTAGGAACTTGCGTCATTAAATACGTGTTTTTATATTATTATGTTTGCGTTGTTTTCCAGAGAAAACGTCACAACAACTTGTGGAAATCATACGTGACAAATCGAACGAATCTCCGACGCTAGGGAGTCTCGAAGTTACCCACCGAAATGGACGCTCGTGTTACGAACTCAGCGAAGTTACGACCACTTTGTTGCATGCTACAGCTAGTTAAAAACGAAGCGGCAGTGTTGTTATCATTGTCAAAGGTTTAATTCAATATTTTTCTACCGGTTGAAAATGTTACGTGTGCCTTTGACGAAACAAAGCATATATTTTGTAGCAGAAATTTGCCGAATGTTTTTCAGTATTAAGTAACTTTTTTAATACTTTAAATAATTTATTTATTATGATGCAAGTTACTAGGAAAATCACCGGTAATATGTATATTTTTTTGTGTACATAAATCCTATACTGTTGTATCTTTTGTTTTCTACATAATTGTTGTATTAATCGGAAATAAATACCATGGAATAGTTTTAGTTTCACTTATACAGGAGTGTCCCTGAATACCATTTCGGTATAATGATAAGGATAACAATTTTATTCAATTCAAGAACGTTTCGCGAATACATTAGTTATAATAAGTTAAAAAATACGGTTTGGACTTAACAATAATGATTACAACGATGATAACTCGTGGACTTATTTCATAGTCATTGCCATTTTCTGGCGTTTCCTTTGTACACTTTCTTATCTGCGCGTTTATACTAAATTGCAGTTCCTTGTTGAATTACGATGTAATTACACGCGATGAAAAATAATATTGCACAATTCATGGAAAAACGTGTGACACTCCATCACCGTACACCTATCTTCATATTGAGAACGGCTACATGTTCTAATATAGAGTGACCTCGAAATAATAAATCAAACAATTCTCTCTAAAAAATATACAACGTTTCTTTAGATTGATATGCAAATTTATGAAATCTGTAATTATCGTCACTGCTGTACCTCGTTCTAGAGTGAAACAAATCATCGTGGCACACAATAAATCATTCTCGGATCTGTCTCATTTCACATTTTAAATGAAACGATTAGAAAATTAGCATTCATTTGAAAGTCATCTCGTATGTTAAGCTTCGAATTGTTGTTTGTAATACTTACAATCATTGCACCCCTTGTCGCGATAAGCGGAGCGATCTAAGCTATATACTTGAATTTCGGCGTTTGTTTCGTACACGATAAGACGACGCGGATATCTAAAGGGCTGAACGAATGTCGTTCGTAAGACTTTTGTATTTAACCTGTATACAAAAATATATCTCATTCTTTGAAATCTGTTTCCGAGAACACTAGAAATCTACATGGGCCTACTTTCAATAGAGTCCCGACACGACGTCCGTGACTTTTCCGCGGTTTCCGGTCGCGGACGAGGTCGTGTTTCTCCTTCCAACGGGGCTCTCCTTGATCTGTTGGTTTCCGGAGTATTTGCCAGCGTTGAACCGATTCTTTCCGAGACCAAAAGTGTCGTAGGTTCGGCTGGCGAAGATGCCGGAATCGTTCGGTCTGCTCGTGAACCGATTCGCGATATTTTCGTGCTGGCTGAACGAGTTGTTCTTGGGTCCGTTCTTGGCCATGATCATGGGCGCGCAATCAAAATCCAAATCGTTCCTCTTGGCGGAATTCAATTCGTTTTGACAATTCCACTCGCGGTTCCTCTGCTCCTCGTACAGCTCGTCGCTCCTCAGCTGTTTGTTATTCACGCTAACATTATAAAGCTCGTCGTTTTTCAGGTGTTTGCTCCTGGATTCCTCCTGCCTGCTCTTCGCGTCTATATCGTAGCAATTTCTCGTGTCCTCGAGTCTGTTGGACTTGGACCTGATCACCTGTCTCTCCTCCCGAGACTTCTTGATCTTCTGGTGCTTGCCCGATCTCCATTGGCTCTTCTCCTCCGTGATTACGATGTCCACCATCGAATCGAGGCCCTCGTCGATTCTATCCAGGGATTTGGTCTGCAGACTGGGTGATTTTGGAGCCTCTATGGACGTTGGTTTTCGTGTCAGCAGTGGTTCCAGGTTGAAATCCGTGACGTAGAACAGTCCGCTGTCGCTTCCTCCGCGAGAGGAACACTGCTCCTTCTTGGCCACGTGGGATACATGGTGGAAAGACTCGGACCTGCGCATCCTGTTCCTCGAGCTGTCCTCGAAGAACTGGTGCTCCTGCTTGCTGAGGTTCTCGGAGCTACCCGGCCTACCATAGCTCTGCAGACTTCGATGCTCGTCGAACGAGTTTAGACTCTCGAACTTCCTGATGTGGCTCTCGACTCGGCTTCTTCCGGACCTCCTTGACCTTGGACTCGAGGCGCTGGACTCGAGGTAGTCGTGGCTTGTGGACCTGCGAAGCAACTTCCTCTTCTCCACCTCGCTCCTGTACTTGGAGTTGTGTCTCTGCACGAACCCATCTTGCCTGGACTTGGTCTCGTTCTTCGCCCTGCACGAGCTCTCATAGTTCCTGATCGTTTTCTTGTCCTTCTCGCCCTCGTCGAAGTGTCGGAGATCGTCGTAGCTCTTCTTCAATTTGCCGTCCTGCTCCTCGTCCACGTTTCTCGATTGCTTCTGGAAGTGGTTGCCGTTTGCGTTCCTGATCCGCTCCTCGTAAGTCTGATTCTTCCCGTTGTACTTCAGCCTGGAAGCACTGAGCAGAGAGTCGCTGCCGTCCCCCAAGGTTTCCTCCTCGATTTCTTCGTCGTGAGAGTTGTAAGTCTCTTCGTGGTCCGGGAAGTCGCAGTGTCTGACCGCCATGATGGTGGACAGACAAGGTGGCGATCTCCTCGGAGGCTGGGGGTGCAGGATCGTCGGGACTATGGCGTCCTCTATGTCCGGCCCTTTGATCACAATCTTCACGCTGCCGTCCACCGAGGACTTGGAGATTCTTCTCGCATCAGGATTCAGCCTTCTGTTGCTGCCCGAGTCCGTGCTGTAATCACGATCGTTCCCGAAGTAGGTCACCTGCTCGCCCTTCGCCATGCTCTGAGAAACAGTGGAGCCTGGATTCGACTTCGAAATCTTCGCGTCGGACTGCTGGTCCCTCTTCAGGACCCTGTCCAGCATGTACGACTCCGAGCTCTTGAACGCTTGGTCCTTGGAGGTGTTCTGCGGGATCCTCTCCTTCTCCTCGCGATTCTTGTCGCCGAACTCCTGCTCGGCGTCCTTCACGATGATCCTGAGCTCCTCGATCACGTCGTCGATGGTGGTCTCCTGATCGTTGTCCGGCGACGAGCTGTGCTTCTGGTGGTTCCGCATCTGGTGTTTACCGTTCTCAGGGCTGCTGGATCTCTCCGACGAGCTGATGCCCTCGTCCTCCGCGTTCGAGGACACTTTCGGCGACTGCTTCGGCCCGAGCACCGTCACCTTCTCACGGTCCTCCCGGTTGTAGCTGTTCAGCTTCTCGACTTGGAGCTGTTGCAGCTCGGCCTGCAGGGCCGAAACCTTTTTGCTCAGAATTCTACAGGTTTCCTCGGCACGTACCACCCGTCTCTGCAACGTGTCTACGTCGACGCAGTTGTGCGTCCACTTCTGGACCTCCTTGTGCAGAAGCTCGTTCAGGGCGTCCTCCTCCCTGCCGTCCAGCTCTTTCAGCCATTCTTGAAGGACCTGCGGCTCTAGTCCAGCTTCGCAGGCTTCGGCCTACCACAGAGAGAAACCGAGCGTTACATCGGACAATCGGCTAATCGATCGGAGTACGGAGACAGTTCTCGGACCTCGAGGGTCTTCTAGACAAGGCGTGTCTCTGTTCGACGTAGATCGTATTAGAATCGCCGGTTCGATGTCCCGACTCACCTGAATGTATAACCTGGTCTGGGTCCTTGGTGCAGACTTGAGGAAAGCGTTGAGGAAAGAGACTCCTGCGACTCTCAGGGCAATCGCTGCTCTGGGAGCCAGGAGGGCGCCGGCGAGGAATCGGAACCTACCGCCCTCGCCGTACTTGAGCCTCAAAGTGGAGACCGCTTCGGAGACAGCTGCGTGGCCACCCGGAGCCTGGCAGACCTTCGTCAGTAGCTGGAACATAATAATGAATTCGTGCGGGAGCGCGCGGAGACGGGGGAAGGATTTTCATGGCGGTCTGGCCGGCAGTTAATGCCCGTCAACAGTTCCTCCGGCCGGACGAAGATAACGATCTCTTTATTCTCATTATATCCCCCCTCGAGACTGGCAGGTTTCTGTGATCACGTGCCGTGGAAGTAATTACCCCAGTTCGGTTAGTCAACGTCTTCTGATCGTAACCGCGATGCTCGCGAGTGCCTGCGCTTCCCCGGCAAATGGGAAACGCGGGAGAACGAGGGAGAAAGAGGAAACGAAGGAGAAGAAGAAGAAGAAGCTGCTACGTTGCGGGCATGAGTTTGCAAATGAAGCTGGCCGAATAACGTTCGGATAGATGATAAAAACTGGTTCCGAGGACGGACACTCTCGAAATAACGGGCCCCGGAGGCTGCCGAGCGGACCGAGTTCGCCGGAGACGCGAGTTTACGAGGCTCTGAATGGGTCAGATGTGCCCGGGATCCTCCGCGATCGACAAACTGCCAGGCTGACCCACAATCTTCCGCCGCTCGGCTCGTATCGTTTCGAGGATTCTTTAATTAACCGTTCCGTTTACAGTTCGAAAATACGAGCATTTACAACGGGGCCGAAAATAACGCGGGATCCGTTTCATCTTCCCGAACACGCCGTCGACGAAAGGACAAGAGAGATCGACTCTCGCGACTCTGCTAAATCTTTGAAAAATATCGGAGAATCGAATTTTTCTCTAATTTATTGGATCAAGTCTTCGCTCTGTAACGCGCGAGATATTCGCGGCCTATCACCGTCGATGCGTCCGCGAACGCGGAATCTCGTGTAATATAAGCGAGCGGCGGTGTTCTCTAATCCGCCGCGTTGCGAATTAATTTTTCAATCGGCGATCGGAGTATTATGCGATACGTGTAAGCGGCGGCGAAGGTATTAACGTTATTATGAACGAGAAGGAAGCGATAGGCGAGTGGATAAAACCGGTGGCCAAGATATCGGTACAGATTTAATCGGTTTAGCCGCGTGCAAATCGAATGCGTGTTAAATTTAATCGACGACGATCGTCTATCTGGGCCGATCTATCGGAGCCGATGCGAACGATAAAATTGCGATAACGCGACAACGATGAAAGTTTCTCCGTGGTTCGATCTCCGATTCCCTGTGTCAAGCATAATCCGTGGCGAGCGCATTCTCGCGCGGTACAGGTTTCTTTTTTGATTAACAGTACCGCGGCACTCGGAACGGAAGTGACGATTGTTACCTGAAGAGCTAGAACCCGGGACCGGTTCAAGCTACTAGTCAGACAGACTGCCAGAGCAAGAAGACCGGGTTGAGCTTGCACCAGGAGCCTCGGCGCATCGGTGCATCGTTCGGCGCAGGCAGCCAGACACTCGACGCAGCCAAGCTCGTCCAGAGCTGCTCTTCTGGTGCCGACACGCGGACCCGTGTGACCGGAAGAGGGTGGAGAACTTTGAGCTAGCTGAACACCCCGAAGGGTCTCCAACAGCAGCGTGATCCCGTCGGCGGGCGGCGAGGCGAATTCCTGAACGAAGCTGCAAATTAATATCGATATTCGCTTGAGAACGCATTTCCGTCACGTCGCGTAATCGCGTCGCGTCCAATCGGAGCACTCGGGTTCGAGGCGCTCGTTAGCGATGGAATTACTCGGCTCGCTGCGCGACTCGTTTTTCGCTTGTTCCGCTCTTTCAATTCTTACACATCGTTTTGCGAAAACAATGATCAAAGCAAAAAGATGCTTCGATGCTTTTACGATGATTATTCTTCTATCGATTCTTGCTTGTCCGTACTTGTTGATCGTACAGTGGCCGAAACAACGATAAGTTCGTCTCATTTTTACGATACAACGAAGCGAATATCGCGAGAACGTGACGGACCTATCATTATTTCGGTCACCGTACTTATTAGAAATGAAATTGTTCCAGACCCCGAAAAAGCTGTTCCGCGCGAGAGGAAATGATTGTCGGACAATTGCGAATGGTCGAGCGTTGAGTGGTTTTTTTTTCTCCAGGGAGCAAAGTGTCATGCGAGAAGAGCGTCGGGACGGGGCGCGAGGTTTTTTGTAATTGATTTCAGGCAGCGAGAGATCGGTGCGAGCAGGAGTTGTCGTATGTGTTTTGCAAAGTGGCGCGTGATTGACTTAATTCCCTAATTGTATAGAGCTGGACCGGAAGCATCTGTAACGGTACGAGCCGTGGCCGTGACGGAGCTCGACGCCGGAGAGGAGCCATTGAACCGCTGACAGTGAAGGAAAAAAGCAGTAATTACATAATTATGGGACCGCGCGATAAACAGAAAAAGGCAATCCGGTTTTATAAGGCGCACCGGTAAGCGAGTTCCTCCGTGGTTGTCAACGGAACGATTATAAGTGTGACGGCACAAGAACCGGGCAACTATTAACGAAGTTAATGCCGAGGCGTATGGAGGGAGGAGAATATACTTCAATTAAATTACACGGTCTCGCGACCACTGAAAACATCATTATTAAACCGGAGAACCGCGGGGACGCTGGCCGGGGCTCCCGCGGAAACACGATTAATCCGACGCCGATTATCGACTCTCGCCGATCGATAAATGAAAATTCCGTCGTTTGTCCGCGGCGCCGGATGTATCGATGCTCGATTGTCAGCCGGTCTCCGATGTCTGTCGGCGTCGTTATCGACGTTTTATGCGCGATTGTTCCGCGTTTCGATATCGCTTCTGCTCGCCGCTCTTCGGTATCGTATTCGTCGATCGTTCGCAGAGAGACCGGCAAGACGAACAGCGCACGATCGTTCCCTCCTTTACGGGCTTGTCCTGTAATTCTGCACTGGTCTTCTCTCTGCTCTCGGCGTGCACCTGTGTGACGGGCTTTAGGTCTCCGTGGACGGGTGCAAGGACGAGGAAATAGATATTATGACTGTCAAAGGGAGTGACGCCGAGTCCACGGGGAAGAAGTTTGTTTCAATGCTGGCCGGGTTTCTTCTCGGTCGCGGGGCCGCCCGTAATGGACGAGTACTATCTTTGATCGTGTCACGTTAGTTTCCTTAATTATACGGATGAAACACGTGTAGCATGGTGCACCAGCCGGTCTGTCAGCATCGTACGCCACGCAGCAATCTCTCTCCGATCGGAGCCGTGAGAATTCCCTTGCCGAGAGGCCTTTTGTCACTTTCTAGAACCTCCTTTGTTGCCTTATACCTTATGCAACGTTAGCGACGAACGCAGTCGTCGTCGGCCCCGTCATTCATCGATCGTTTCCGTTTCGGAGAATTTTTCGTTCCGAGCCAGCGGGAAAAAAGCGATCGATAATCATCGCTGTGTTTCAAGCTTCGTTATTGTTCCGCGCCTTTTAAATGCGACACTACAGATTTTCGTATCGCGAATTCTATTATAATATTTGTTTTCTTCGCTAATTTTTATCTAATCTGCGGTAAATTGTACGCATAGTGGGCGTGCCGATAAAAGACGACCCGGGTTCTTCGATCCCGCAATCTCGGGATAACAACGTTTACGCGTCAAAATAACAACCGAACGACGAACTTGAATCACGCGCTCCGTCATCGTCGCGAAGTCGTACGTTCCCTCGGAATATCGCGATAAACGCGATTGGATTGGTCAAGCTCGAAAGTGGAATCGCGGTAAAATCGAATACCGCTCGAAAATAACACCGTCGAAGGAACATCGAGTCGTCGAGGAAACGTCGAATCGTCGGTGGAGCTCGATAGTTTTGCCGGTCGCTTGCACAAACAACCATAAATCATGCGCGGCTGGATATCCCGGCTCGAAGAAAGGGAAAGACGGAAAAAGAAAACGGCATTCGGAGAGACGTTCGGCTAGACGGGGACTCTATAAACACCGTGTATAAGCGCCGTGCGCGCGGGTTCAATGCATGCAAATGAGTATTAAAACGTTTTCTATGTACCCGGCGTATGTACTCGTCGCCTATTTACCCACGGCTAAACCCGCCGAGAAAGAGAAAGAGGGAAAGAGAGAGTTCTCTTCTAACAATAGACGCATTATGTTACAGGCCGTATTATGCATACCGTACTGGAGGTATCGTGATGGCCGGCTGTCGATGTACGTTCGTCGTATACGTGCGCGAAGCACATGGTTGTCTCGCGATTCACGCCGGGAACACCATGGCTCGACTTTGTTGGACGCGTCGAAAAATCATGGATCGATCGTGCGTCAAAAAACGAAAGCTCCGGCAGCCTGTGGACCACCCTGGCAACGTTCTGGACATCAAACTTTGGTTCCACTGCTCCGAGTGGGCGTGGCTTTACAGCTCCCGATTTCCGAAAGACCAGAGCAGCGTTCCCTGGAGGAATCTAGCTTCAAAAGCAGCAATCTTTCTCTGTTGCCAGCAGTCGATTAATATCGATCCGCGATTGGATCTGTGAAACGCAGGCGTGGCTTGCCCGAAATGAGCATGATTCCCAGGCCCATTTGCTTTTCAAAGAGTCCGGTAAGTGCCTCAGGAAGCAATCTATGCCTAATCTAGTCCTCAATTGGACATTTTACAGAACCTTAAAAAAAGATCGCCGGCAGATGCATTAGCACTTTAGAGCTCCGAGACCAGCGACAAGCAAAACGAACGTTTTCTTGGGACAAGGGCGTAAAAAATGCTCACGACTGACAGCGGACGTCTTGATTGGCGCGAAGCAATGGCTCGTGGGATCGAACAAATATAGCTGGACCGCTGGAAGGGTCCACGGCGGATGATGATCGTTTCTATTTAAATTCGCAAGCCCCGGAGGTACGGGGTTCTAGTCCCAGTTACGGGACGTTCGCGCGAGGTTGCGTGTCCAAGCGTGTTCGTAGGCCAATGAAAAATCGCGTGCCGGATTCGAGGAGGACAAAGAGGAATTTTGTTCCAAGGCGAGCGACTCCGCTATCGAAAACACGCTTTCCTGGAGACGTCATGCGATGCCTCCTCGGGCCCCGGCGAGCCTGGCCCCAGCCTGGCCTGGCATGGGTGCATTATATTACACCCTGCATTATGCAGACCACGCCGCGCACGTAAGAATGCCTTCGGCGAACGGGGCATGAATATCAAGCGTTCGTTATTGCTCGGCTGTATGGGCACACCCTAAAATCCACGACGATGGACGACGACGCGACCGAAGAAAACGAAAGGACGCTGCGGCGTCGGCGGTGGCGACGACGACTACGACTACAACGACTGCACACGGGCGTGTTTCTCTTTCACGCGATACTTTCGGCCTCCGCCGTAAATGGATTGCATAATTTACTGCGCGGGATGCATCTTCTTACTGCAGCGCGAATCCTCGGCCAGCTTTATCGGCCCCGTAGACGACGCCGGACGAATTAATTCTGCGGTCCTCGCCGCATCCTCCGCAGGAAACTGCGCTCGAATCGCGGCCTCGCTTTATTTATCGCCGCTTTGTGCATCGGTGCCTCTTGATATGACCCACAGCCGATCCCCCCTGGTTTTTGCTATTTCTTTCGCGTACACGCGGTTATAAATTAATTGAACGTCGGTGGATCGCGCGCGGGCAGCTCGATGGTAGAAAAAGATTACGCCGGCTTGTAGTTCGTAAGATTGGAACACACCGACTGGAACGCGCGAACAAAACGGTGGGTTTTGTTCATCGATATCCGCGAGTGTGTAAGTAGATAAAACCGTTTCCAGTAATCGAATCCCGTAGAACGTAGTAATCGTTACCGGTTGATTACGTATCCGAACTATTGACGCTTACATGTTGATTAGCGCGGGGTAATTGCCGTTGTGCAGGAGCGGTGCCGGAAGCGGGCCCCGTTCGCCGGAGGAAGATGAGAAGCCCAGGCATCGGCTCACTTTCCAATCGTGCGCGGCTAAAAGTGAATTGTAAACGGGGATCCAGAGTCAATTAAAATTAATGAAACTAACGTCTCGATTCCGGCGTGAACGGAGACGGGACCCGCCGCGATTGTATCTCTGCCTGTTCGAGGACGGGGATCGGTATCGCGGGGACAGCCGATCGCGGAGCATCGTTCACCGCGCGGCTAGAAACAGAAACGGGATCTGATAATCGCGTGAAAAAAGAAACGAGACTTCCTTGGTTTCCATTAGGTAGGAAGCGGTTACGCATTCGCTGTTACGCGAAGCGGAAGCATCGTGGGGTATCGCGCGGGTTCGGTGGCCGGTCGTGGAGGCTTCTTCTAGGCCGGTGTTGATATTACGCGCCGCCACGGGACAGGCAAAAACGGGGAAACGGTGCCGGGTCTCTATAAAATAAGTGCATTAAATCCGGCCCCATGTTTTTCCGTAACCGACGCTGTAATTACTTGGTTCAAGGTTCACATTAATTAAAATCATCTGCGTGTAACTGCGTGTAACTGCGTGTGCCGCTCCACGGTGCCGCGGGGGACTCCATTATGCACCTCCGCGTCAGAGATCACGTTGCGAACGCATTCAAAACTCCCTGTTACGCTTCTGGTCCCTGCGCTTCGTCGGTCACCCGCGTCTGCAAACAGTTACAGTAACGTCTCCCTAATTGACGCCCAGATTGCCCACAAAAATCGACAATTTGGGAAGAGGAGATACGATTGT